GTTGTACCGAAGTGTTGAACAGGAGTGAGAGGAGGAGAGCTTGGCACTGACATCCTTTCAAGATTGTAACGTGATGAAGACTTTCAATGCATCTGTCAATGTGTGTGCAAAACCAAAACAGTACCACCCTCATCGAACTATAGTTAACATGCCTTACATAATGGAGTTATCAGTGGAGTAGCAAGTCTTTTAGGTAATGGAAATATAAATAAGAAAGAATGTTTAACATAATATGCTAAAAATATTTTCATACTTAAATAACATAACATAAAAAGGTGTGCTTGCTGTATTTTATATTATCTTGCAAATCTTTTTTTCCCTCCCCCCCGCCCCGGAAATGCTGAAAACCTTGCCATTCAAACTAGTAAACAATCACTTTAGTGTTAGAAATTACTTTTACTTTTTTTTTTTTTTTTTTTGGTACAAGATGTCATACTATGCTCATGCCCATCAAAGTTTTGAGGACCAATATCCCAGTCCAACTAAATATTTAACCCTGAACTATCTGTTAGAAAGACACTTGGAAATACTTAAGTGCAAATTTATGTGTGTGTGAGAAACAATTATCTTCATCTCAGATGAAGTTTTGAAGCACTTTGTAGTTCTCTATTGCCAACAGATTTAATGTTTTATGTGTTGCCAATTCTTGCAACTACCGTACGCGCACGTGCCTGCAGTTGCAAATAAAAATTAAAAATTCTGCGCATGGTTTAAGGAGGTCCATTATTTGTGCTAAGGGAGTTTCTAATGCCTCTCCCTCACGGTCATCGTGTTTCGAGATTTTCTTTGTGCATTTTTTTTCTTTTTGCTTCTCATTGTAGGTCACCGCGTTCTGTTCGGAAGTGTCTGTTTAGCTTTACAGTTAATTTTGCTGAAACATGACATATGAGCCTTACTGAAGATTTAAGTGCTTCTTGCAGCAGGTGGTCAGAGACCGACTTAAAGCAAAAGGCAACGTGAGAGCGCTTCGTGTCTGGACCATACCTGAACATTTCTTGCTTACCATCCTGCCTTGCGCGTTCTTCTCTCCCAAGTGCTATTCCTGGAGCTTGGCTGGCCGGGAGCAGAGGTGGGCACCCCCAGCCCAGAAACACCACTGCCAGGGTGAGGGTTAGGGAGGAACTGGCCGTGTTAAACACGGCAAGCGCCTGCGCTTAGTTCCTGTTCTTTTAAGTGCAAAAGAAAGCTCAGAGGAGGAGTGAGCTTTCCCTTTATTTTTTTTTCCCCCCAAAGCTTTAAAGGAAAACTTTGTAAGGATAAGTCCTATTCTCCAGCGGAGTAAGAGTCCCATTAAACCACTTAGGAATCACCCTAATGAATAAGCATTTATAACACCCAAACTGAAATACAACATCACTTTTTCTAAACCCTAGAGAGGTGACGGTGGTTGTACTGAACAGCGCCGTCAGCCGGGTTTGAAGGATGATCCAGACATGAGAGTCAGTGGTACGGAAAGGGCCGCAGGTGCCCCCTTCCTGCCTTCTGCAGTTTTGGCAACAGATCTGGCCAACAAACATGTTTTGGCTCTGCTCCTAGTGCAAGAAAACTACAGGCTGGGCGAGTTCATTCAACAGCTAAACAGTCGTAAAACATCATTGTCGCATGTAAATTCCTTTCAACTATAAAAATGAAATTCCAGTTTCTATTTACCTATTCATTGTGACAGTATTATTAAACAGGTAAAGATGGGACTATTTTGTTATACTGTGTATAGTGAATGTATTGTACTGTGTCTGTGAAAAGTGTGCTTTAAATTATATTTTCATATGTTTTGTTGGGGACAAAGTACTTCTTTAAGTTTGAAAGTGACAGAGGTTTGTTTTAGAACTGAAGGCAACTTAAAGAATTCCTGTCAAGAAAGCTGCTTATAAATGTAAATCAAATCACATTTAAAATAAACTGCCTCTGACCTAAAAAGACTGCTCTTTACTCGTTACTGACCTAAAGAGTTAAGTTCTTGGGCTGTATATAGTCCTTTATTTGCATATTTTACTTTGGTATCATCAAACTCTGTATTCAATAAACACCTGAAGCAACATAAGCACTACACCCTGAATGCACAAAATTACACAGAATGCTACCACCTGGAGAAGGAAAAAAAAAAAAAAACAACCCAAAAAGGCATTTTGATTTAAGCAGTCATAAGGATTTTGGATTTCCCGGGCTGTTTCCTTCCAATATTGCAACAGGGTTCAGGTTACCAGGTAAAATTGGTATTGATGCTACAGCAGCCCCCTTTTATTGGTAGGATGTGGGTTACCTTTCTTCTGAGGGTTTTCAGAAATGAAGTGGCTATCACCACGAAAGGAGAATCATTACAATTTTAGTTCAGTTAGGCTGCAGTAGAGCTATTTGGCTTCTGTCATGTATCTGTAAACTGAGCAGGTAGGTTATTTTAAGCAGCCATGTCAGGGTGGCTATTTAACAGGGAAACTTTTTAAGTAGATCCCTGTACATAGACACACATCTGAGAAGTCCCTGCTTTGGCACAATCAGGTTTTGAGGTGGTCCTGCCTGTGTGGGACACCAACCTCTGAGACTTCCGAAGTCTTTACTAATATGATAACTAATATTTTGGTTTTATAGCCTGTTCTAACTATTTTCATATGCTGTTGAGTTACCGTAAGAAAAAGAAAATTGACTAAATATTCTTTCGGTACTTCCATGCCTTACCTCAGACCATCTCCTGACATGAAATTCACAGTTTAAAAAAAAATAATCTAAGGCTTAAAATGGAACAGGAGGGCTGCTGTAGTAGCTGCTGCCCAAGGCAGTGCCATTTATCTGTGTCATCCAGCTTTTAATAAATCCCACACTGAACAGGATGTTGCACGTGTTCCTGAGAGAAGCACAGACAACAGAAGCTACTCAAAACCTTAATCCCTGACTGTGTGTCTCAAACAAAGAACATAAATAGACGTGAGCAACAGTTTCTTTGTCATACAAAGCTGAAACATCATTTACTGTAACTATGCAAAGCCTAAACTCTCTCTCTTTCAAAATGAGCAGCAGGAAAAAAAAGGACCACTGACTCCATGAATAGTTTTGCTTTTAATGTAACAAGACTACTGTACAACAAGTGGAAAGCAAATTTACTTAATACAGTTAAAGTAAATATAAAATGTTTAGATATACACACATGTTTTTACTTATTGGAAAGAAATAAAGTTAAAATGCAGAAGATTTTAAAAGCCCAAAGCCAAAAGGAACACAATTCACTGTTGTGAAAATAGAACAATATTTTCTACTGAATGCAATTGCAACATAATGGCAATGATTTTTTTAAACAATTACTTTTAGGCATTTAAGCACAGCGGTTTCTTTCAACTCAAAAGTACTGCCTTGAGGTATAACATACTTAATTGAACATTATCCCTTAAGGCAAACATTCTGTATGTAAAACTGAAGTATTTGCCATTCCTTTCGTTGCAAGCATGTAATCACACAGTACATGCATCTACAGTTCAGAAATGTACTAGAAAACTATATTTTCATAGGGTAAGTAACTCAACTTTCCAATTTAACTGTTACTCAAAGAAAAACTACACAACTTTGCTAGGAGAAACATCTGTTTATTACATTTTTAATCGTGCCTCAGTTATCACGGTCAAGAGAAACCCTAGGTGTTTTGGTGGCCTTTTTATGTAGCTGAAGAGCAGCATGACGCTGGTCTCGTTTTTTCTGAGGCTAACCAATTCTTGTGTCCTTAGAAGTTCCAATAAGTAGGGGAATAAATAGCTACATACACAACAAGGTGGGGTTTTGTGAGGTTTTTTTTTTAGCATAATGTTAGGTAGAGAGAGAGAAGATAACCCAATAGCAGCTTACAGCCACGATTTATCACGGCTCCCATTAGAGTACATCAGCTTTTAATCAGAAGTTTGCACTGTTACCAAAAAGCCACACTGGTTTTGTTCCGTAGGTGGGCTACTCAAAGTTGTGGGGTTTTTTTAAGCTGCACTGCAAAACAAAAGTATTTAATCAAAATTTAATACGTTCTGATCAAAGTGCGTCTGAACGTGCCTCTCGAACCCTTGCTGATCGTAGTCGGGCGGGAACTGCTCGCTGCACATGGGGCACACCTTCCAGTGACTCTCAACGTGTTCCTCAAACTTGCTCTGGTCATAGTTAGGTGGAAACATCACATCGCAGAGAGGGCATTTCTTGTGCACATCGAAACTTCATGAGGAGGTGGAGAGAAAGAAAAAAGGAAACAGTTACTTAATCCGCTATTACAAAAGAAAATACAAAAGTAGGATCCCGTTGCCACCAACGTTGAGAGCTTTACTACAAACTTAAATTTGAGCAGACTTTGTATCGAAGCAAGTATCATACAGCTAATTTAAACGTCTTTGCTGAAAGTGCTCAATACAGTTAAAGCAGTTTTACACAGGAATTCCAAAATAACCTGGCATTTTAAAAGCGACATAATTTTGACGTAATTCCAGCTACCACTGAATACAAATCTATTGAATGTCTTAATGGCCAAGCAGTTTCATGGGAAACCACTCTCTCTGCTCATAAATGCTTGCTCTTAGCAAACATAACACTTTATAAAAGCTCTAAACTTAGGTTCACAATTAGGTTGCAACGAGAGGGTGAAAAACAAAAGTTATTCATTCATTTACTGAATAAATTGTCCACATTCCATCAAAATAAGGTAT